TAACATCTCCTCTTCAACCACATCTTCCTCAAGCACACTGTGACCGGTGGTGTAGTAGTATGGTGTCTGTATGAAACAGTTTGGATAGCGAGGATCGAGTCTGTTCAGAGGAAATTCGTTCGTTACGCTCTTCGCCACCTTCCTTGGTACGATCCTACGATCCTTCCACCCTACGAAGATCGTTGCCAACTACTGGGCATTGAAACTCTTGAACGTAGGCGGAAGATTAACCAGGCAGTTTTTGCAGCAAAAGTGCTGATAAGCGAAATCTACTCTCCCGGAATTTTGGTTGAACTCAAAATCTATGCACCTGGATGAGTTCTACGATCGAGAAGTTTCCTGCATCTCGGACCCCGTGCAGCTAATTACGGATTACATGATCCAATACGGTTCATGTCTGCCCGTTTCAATGAATTCTATGTTTTTTTTCGATTTCAACTGCACAGTGGTAACATTTCGGCAACGGATTCAACGTAGTCTGCTGGATAGGTGACGATACGGTTCGACACATGCAACTGCTTTCAATCAGCAAATTGTTGCAAGATGGGCGAGGTTATTTTTTTATGATGAAGACCATAGTATTATTATTATTATTCGGTGTTTATTTTTATAATTGATGTGTTTTTCTGTCCTTTTTATTTTGTTCCTTGTATTTTGAAAAGATATGGGGTTTTTACGCCTATTTGCGCAAATATTTGCCAAATAAGCTTTTCCCCAGGGTGCCTTCCATTCATTTTGGCGAAAAACATGTTTTATTAAATTATGGAATAATAAGATATGATGATAATATTTTGTATGTGTAAGTTACAAGAAAAGATTGTAAAGTTTATGTTTGACACACAAAACATGCAAATTTAACTTTAACAGAGTCACAATGAGCGATTTTTTGATCGCCTCTTCGCGAAGAGTGAAGAGCGAAGAGTGGGTGAGATAAATGACAAAATCGCTTATTGCGACGCTAATGTAGCAAAATTGGCAGGTATTATGCGTCAGGCACAAACTTCACTATATTTTCTTGTTGCTTACACAAACAAAATATTATCATATAATCTTATTATTCCATAATTTCATAAAACATTTTCTTAGCCAAAATGAATGGAAGGCACCCTGCTTTTCCCCATCAATCTTCATTTAGGAAACAAAAGTCCGATGAAGAGAATAATAAACAAAAAAAATAAATAAATAAATAAATAAATAGTATTGTTTAAAATATTTATGTGGGGAGTAGGGCCAATAAATTGTAGTGAAACAACGGCCAATTCAAAGTGGGGGCGATCGTTTTCAAAATGTGTGGATTTTGTGTAAGGGTTGTATTAGGAGTTAGGAGATAGGAGTGAAGGCTGCCTACGATCGGGGGCGGATGGAGAGAAACGCAACACCACGGTCGATGAGAAGAGGTAAGACAGAGTCCGACGGTCAGTGGATTTAGTCAGTAAGTCGTGGGCCTTCGTAGAAGCGGCAAGGAAAGTTTGTTGCGTTTGGTGTGAAATTTTAGTCATCCTCGCCATCGTTTCAAGCCATGTGGTGCGAGAACGCTTTGTTTTCTGGACCGCTAGGAGACCTGACCATCACCCGTTCCCCGGCCAAGTCATCCGGTCATCACGGGATCCTGAGTATCGGACGGCTTGTTATTCAGTCCGACGACTTTCGACGCCGTACTGCCGCTCCATGTTTAATCGATACCCGGCTTCACGGTCAACCCTCCATCAGTCACCCCTGGCTTATTCTATCGTCAGCCAAATCAACCTGGCACCGGTCAAGTTACCCGGCAAAGCCCAGATCACCCCGGCCATTCAAGTCCTCACGTTGCCCACTCAGCAGCCGATCAGCACCCGATATACCTCCCGGGTTACCTTCGTCGCCGTTTAGAGCCAGGATTACCGGCAAACTCACACGGGCGTCTACCATCGCCGTATCCCGGCCAGGGTCGGCCGGACCACCTGCTATCATCACCGCTTCCCGGCCAGTTTCGACCGAGCCCCCAGTCGATCACCTTTCTATACCATCACCGGCTACCATCTTCGTTTCCCGAACTACCTGCTATCATCACCGCTTCCCGGCCAGAGTCAGCCGAATCACCAGCCGATCACCGTTCGATACTGCCTGCCCTCACTGTCGTCGCCGGCCAATAAATTACAAGGTAAAAAAAAAAACATAATTTCAGGTCTCCTCACATCCGAAAACTCTCCCACGCCAATACGCCCTGAGACCCGCAACCTACAAGGGACTTGAGTGCACACCCCGGGAGCTGCCGTTGGTTAAGACCAGCAGCTTGGGGCTTTGGGGAGTTCCCTTCAGGGACTCAGTGGTTCCGGGGCTGAAACTAGTCTTATAACATCTTCCTAAAGGAACTCTTCTGTTTCCTAATGGTTGTTGTTGTCCTACCATGCAGCTCCGGTTACAACACCTGCGTACGATTTTGACGTAGAACTACGTCTTTGTCGACTTTACTGGGGTACAAATCAAAAAATATGTTTGATGAAATCGTGTTAGGTTTTGAACGCTTGTTACTTTGTCATTTATAGAAGAAATTCAAATCCAAATACGCCAGTAGATAGGATATTACTTAACAAACCTGCTAAAAGAAATACGTTTCCAATTTTAAGTCAAAAACTTTTGAAAAATGCGCAAATGATAATTTTATCACTGTTTTCATGAACTAAACGTTTTCCCCAAACCCAGTCATCATAAACGAATGCCACTTGGTTGCTTGAACCTGAAAAGATATAAAACAGCGCTGCTTTCCTGACTCTGCTCATAACCGCTTCGGACGGCGTGGCACTAGGTCCTGCAGCAAGCAGGACCAAGTCAGCGGCTGAAGGTGGGTCACGGCGTGACCATGACCACCACAATGAGGAATGAGACTTGGAAAATTATGTATGTAAAACCTCCTCCCCCCTTTTACTACAACCATACATGGACTTTGACGAACACTTTTTTCCGGGAAATAAATTTTATTTAAACCACAATTAGGGGCTGTTCATTAACTACGTAGACAGGTTTTTTTTTGGATTCTTGATCCCCCCTCCCCCTACGTAGACATTTGTCTATACATTTTTCTTTAAATTTGTATAGGCTGTGGAAAATTGCCAACCCACCCTGAAACTCTGTCTACGTAGTTTATGCACAGCCCCTTATAAGTAAAAACATTTTTTTACACGCAGAGCCTAAATTAAAAAAAAAATTGCTTAAGAGGAGACATACATTGTGGTACCTCTATATATGCAATTAGATTAACATCCAAAGTCCATCCTTTTTTCCATATTCTGCACAAAAGAAACGTTCTGCTCCACCCCATTCATAATAATAAGTATAATAATCAAAAATGCATGACAAACATCAATTTTGCGTGGTTCTACGTCATACTGCGGTCGTGTCTAGGAAACAAACCCTTTATTTTCTTACCGCTCTGTTCTTCATCCTGTCGATGCGTTTTGGTTGCTTCCGAGCCTTCGACTTGGAGTAGGAAAACTCCGTCTTAAAAAGGAAGCATTTATCCTTATTATCGTCATTAAATATATTCCCCTTGAAATTAAGGAAATAAAGAGAGGTGGGAATTTCCTTTTACACATCCATGTATACGCCACGTACACCTGTGTATCTGTCGATGCACAGCTCAGTTGGAAATTTCTCCCAGATGACATGCTTCACATTCCCTAAATGCTAGCTCGTGACGGTTTTCCCAACATGTGCCATGCGTACCTCTGCTGTCTTTCCATTCGCATAATGGAAAAAATAAATCGTCCCAGTTGAGAGTCAAGGCATGGAGCACCGATTCTTTGGATTTAAACTTAATGAAAAGCCCTTATTCACCCACAATCCAATAAGCAGCTTCCATGTGACTTTTTGAAGCTGAACGGTCTTTCAGCGAAGCTTCAAACATTTCAATGAAGCTTCTTAAAATTCAAAGAACTTGCGATAAGGATTTGTAACTCTGTGTTATTTTCACGTGGCTTGGATTTACTCATTTTGCATAAGGGTTTTAGTTCTAGCCGAATAACACACGGAACACTCGAATACAAAATTGTCGGCGAGACGTTTCACTTTGGATTGCTTTGCATCTCCAAATAGCAACGTTAGATTGTCTTGGATCGGGTTGCCAAATGAACACACCCACTGTTCACCAAAATGGTATGTTGACACTTTCCAGCCTTGATCTATAGCATGGGAACATGCAACTTTTTAGATAACTTCGAAAAATTTAAAACAAACTTTTTGCCACAATCAAGCACTCTGAAATCCCACATTTTGCATATCATAATTGCTAATTGAAAGCCACGAACTACTCAAAAAAGGGATCTCCTCAAATGCACTTCGGTAAATTTCAATCCAAATGACTATAATTTTTGCCAGCCATATCATCGCGGGAAATGCTTCATATCGTGGATTTATAAAATTACACCCTGGGGGTGTATTAAGCCGATACCAAGAAACAACAGCATCATTGTCCCTAATCTATGACATCCGGTGCTTTCGAATCTTAACGAGAGCAAAAAGAAAGAAAAAAGTCCACCCACGCGCGTTCGATCTATTTGTGTCACATCCGCTCAACAAGTGGGTACTCTTCTCCGTAGGCGGAGGAGAGACTATCTAAAACGGATTATGTTTTCATCGATAAGGATCAAATTGCTGCGATAAAACACATCCAGCGCCGCATCTACAGCTGGATGGCACCCATAGTGAATGAACGAACACCTTCCATGAAGTCCATGCCGCTTTACCATCATTCTTGTCGTTCGCCTTCGTCCTCATCGTCGTAGCATGTCACATCAAAAGGCAATCATCTCAGTCTGTAGGACAGTGGCATGGGAGCGTCGACGAATGAGCGCTGCTTGAATTGATGGGTGAAGATTTTAATCACGTATCCTTCGTTCACACACACGTGCGAATTCGTTTACCGAGAGACAGGCACGAGTTGAGTTGGTGGTGTCAAGAAATAGCACCTATGCTTCGATCTGACAGTGGGGGGCTAAATGAAATGTTTTCGACTACGGACTTACCTCAATGAACTCCACGGCCAGCGGATCGTCGAAGACGGCGTGCCGCACCGCCAGGACCCACCGCTGGATGAACTGCACCACCCGCCGCTTGCAGGTCATAAAGTACTCCTGGTCCTCCTCGCTGGCCGTCCGCATGTCCACCTCGGTGTCGGCGTGGTAGGTGCTCGCCAGTTCGTCGATTAGAATCGGCGTTGGCATAAACACGATGTGGGTCAGTAGAAAGTCGTCCAAAAAAGGATCGTTTGGTCCCGCCTGACCGCCCAGTCTTGTCTCCAGCAGGTGTTCCAGCATCTTTTGCGGCGTGCCGGACATCACAGTGTATCTGGATGGTGGATGGTGAAGAGAGACGAAAACAAAAAAAAAGATACCGGTTAGGAAATTAGAAAGGTCGCATGTAATAGGATCCGACAAACGCAGCGAAGATGAAAAAAGATGGATTTGTTGGGAGACACGTGCTGTTGTGGGGCGGGGAAATCCCTTGTAAACAGGTAGAAATACATAAGAAAAGAAAACGGTTCTCGGAAAAATTGGCTACATTGTCATCTGAAAAGCGGATGGGATGATGGATGTTTCAGAGTGAAAGTACGACTGTGGAGGGGGAAAACGTAAATAAATTTTCCTAATTAAAATTTCCTGGTAAACATACAATAAGGGTGGAAAGCATTGTGACGATAGATGGTAGATAAATGTGATGCTGATGCTGCTGCAGGAGGGTGGTGAAATGTCAGAGTGCGGTTAATCATGAGAGATGTTTTGACGTACTCAAAGCATGCTACATTGTATCTGCACACCGTTGCCTGTGGAACGAGACTGCCTTCTTGGCTGTAACTGGTTTGTGTATTAATTTGAAAATGAACGTACAGAGATATTTACAGGGAGCTTGAGAGGTGATACGTGGAAACATGTTATGTTTTTGTAAAGAGAATTCCAGTATTTATTTCTTTGAGGCAAAACAAACAACTAGAATGTTGATGCAGCTGACTAAATTGAATTAGTTTATGCAAATCAGTAAAAGAATCTTAGATTTCCCGTTTGGATGTAGTCAGACATTGCTAGACTTCATGTCAAAAGATACACATTTTTATATAACTTCTAAAATACCATAATTTCAGATATTTTGCATGAAAATTATTATATACTGAAGTCAATAGGTGTACATTCAGCAAATCAAAAATTTATATCATTCAATGTTAGTTGAATTTCCTATCATCCTCCGCAGCGAGGTTACCGTAGATAATGATATAAGCTGGCCATGCAAACGATGCAATGGTTTTTATCTTTTTTATTTCGTGTTCTGTCTACGCTTTCGACTATACCACCAAGCTTTTGACGTCTTACGGGAAGGTACAGGGGGTAAATCGAAAATCCAAAATTGCGACCGTCTCAAAAAGATGTTAGTTTTTTAACACTTATAACTTTCCCAGACAACCAGAATGCACGTATATTCAAAGTTGTTTTCGTGATATACAAACATATATACAAACAAACAAGTCGTATATAATGCAAAGAAATGGCTTATACGTACAAAAGTGGAGGCCATATACGTGCATATTTTCATTTAATTTTAAACGAGATGATTTAACATCATATGTGATTTGATCTGTAATAACAAATCCATTTTGAAAAGTCTTACGATGTAATCCGATTAAATTTGTGATACAGTACGACGGAAAAATGAGTCATCGCATATAAGTCGGAAATTTGCATTCTATACGATTTAACTTAAACATAATGCGAGGTATACCATTCTAATATGCGATTTTGACTTAAACTGTGGCAATTTACGATACTGTATGTACATTGTTATACGACTTCTGGTTGTCTGGGTTGTCATGCATAGATGAAATTAAAATTCATATACACCAATCGATAGGAAATAATTCTACAAATCTGAAATAAATACTTTCCAAATTTTCCATAAAACACTCTTGAAAGATGTTCAAATAATAAGTAATAATTTTATCGCTGTTTTCATGAAATACACGTTCTCCCCAAACCCAGTCGTCAGAATCGAGAACCACTTGGCAGCACATAGTTCTGCTTGAAACTGCGAAGCTACAAAACAGCGCTGCTTCGTGCCTCCACACATTTTCGCTTCGGACGGCGTGGTCAGCAGTAAGAAGTCAACAGTAAAAGGTGGAATTTTTCTCTCTCTCTCTCTCTCTCCCGTCGAGCAGAAAAGTTTCCCCGCAGCCAGCGTTGCCAGGTCATTTTAAGAAAAATCTGGACCAGTTAAAATATAAAATCTGGAAAAATCTGGAATGCTTAAAAAAATCCAGTTTTTAACATAATGCTATTGAAATCAAAGTGATATGCCAATCTCCCGTAAAAATCGGTCAGTATGATCATCTAGAATTTATTTAAAGTACTAGAATGGTTACGAATCACTTTTAATTATTATTGGTTATGAATCACTTTAATCATTTAAACTGTAACTTTTTTTAAAGTAATGAAAAGCAAAAAATCCAGCAAAATTGGTAGGATGGATGTTTTAAAACTTATAATCGATGTAGTCCTTACTATTCGATGCAGTACCAGAAATTAAAGATTTTATTAGTTCTAAAAAATTCTAATATTACCCTGAGGTTGATCAGATTAACAATTTAATTCTTGACATCATACAACACACAACACCCAGTAGACCAGTAGGCAATTTTATTTTGAAGCAAAATTCACCTGGCTGGGAATCAAAGTCTAACATCGTGGTACTCACACACAGTTTACCTAAACTACGGGTAACTCCACTATTCGTATGACCATTACGAATAATTTTATGCGAAAGAATAATTTTATTATATTAGTAAAATGAAAGTCTGATAACTCAGGATCTTGAAATGATTTTAATTTCCGGAATTTATATTTTTCTGGGTCCCAGATCATGAATTTTTTTGTTAGTCTGATTTTACTTAGAACTCGCCCTTTTTTTTTGTTCCATTTGAATCTTCCTAGAATTTCATCATACTTCTTTTCTTTACTCCCCTAAAATAATCTTGTTAATATCCAAACTTTTCCAGTAACATTCCAAGAGTTCTAAGCATTACCTTTTGGAATCTCTAATAAATCACTCTCCAATTCCACAATTTCCTCAAAATGGTAATAATTCCCAAGAATTGGCACAGTTTTGTGTCCATTTTTCTCTATAAAATTCTTAGAATATTCTTATAATTTCCTTGGTAAACTCTTCAGAATGACCGTCACGCTATTCTCAGACTAATCCGACAATTCCCTTTGAACTGCTTTCTAGTTAAGTTTAGAATTGTTTTGAAGTCCTCTTCAGTATTTCCTAGTTACTCAAGTACTTTGCCAAAATGGTTTTGAAAGTCTCGCAGAAATTTCGCATAATTCCGTTTAAATGTCTTAATGTTTTATTAAAATGAATCTCCATAGAAACATAGCACAGAATTCCATTAAAATTATTCTCACGATTCGTATCAGCATACTCCTTAAGTTTCATCATAAGAATTTTCTATGATTTCTCTTCCGGATTGTATTTCCTTTATCCACAAAATCTTCATCTAACTGTCATCAGAGTTGACAAGACAATTGACACCGTCTTCAACCAGAGGTCCACAGACTGAATAGTTAACACTAAGGAGCCTGAATTTATAAAGAGACGACATCTTTTCCATTTGACAGGTCTTCTGCTCGATTGGAATAACTTTTCCTATGACTTTGAAAGACAATCGATTGTTCAAATTTTTACATGTCGCCTCTTTATAATTTTAGGCTCTGTAGTTAACCCTAGACAACGGACAACACACCACACCCAGTAGAGCAGTAGAGAAATTTTCAGGTTGTCAAAATTTGCACCGGCTGGAGCGGGAATCGAACCCTCACTTCGTGGCACTCACAAAACGCCTGAACGACGGGTAAAGTCGCATGACCACGAAGCCCTCAAAGATTGGTGGAACTCTACTCAGAATTAGCTTGAAATTCTCATTCGATTTCACAAGGAATTCACCTTACACTTCACTGTGAACTATTTTCAGATCCTAACCTTAAAATTCCAATAATGTCCAACATTGATAGACCTTATTAATAGTAGCAAATTTGGCTTTTAATTTTTACCATCTAAATCAATTGCAGTGATATTTTTAAAGCAACATGTTTAAAAAATCTGGGAAAATCTGGAACATATTTAAAAAATCTGGAAATATACGTGGTCTGACTGTGTATCTGGCAAGGTGACTAAAAATCTCGAAAATCCAGATAAATCTGGAATAATGGCAACGCTGCCCACAGCAGACGGTGTGAAGAGTAGATTAGACCTGTGCGCCACCGCCACCGCCGCCGACACTTTTTCATACGCTGCCACTGCCGATGATTGTAAGTCGACGCGCCGCTATAATAATTTTTGACACGCCACCGTTCTAATTTTTAATACACAGACGATGTAAAGGCAAGCTTCTACATTTTATAAGAAGTTTTTTCTCGCAAACTGCACTACATTGGAAAATAAAACAAGCATATTAAGCTTTAAGACGCATTAGAATTCAAAAACAAAATCTTTCATCGATGCAAAAAGTTTCTATGGCCATAATGGCAATTATCAAACACGTTCCCAGAAACCCCTGCATTCATGGTCTCTGGACCATATTTATGGTGGATCTTAGAATTTCGTGACAATTGGTAATATTGCTCCTTAACAAAAAATATTAGATCTGTATTTTTATATTTCGTCCGTGTTAGGGTAGTCCGAAAAATCTAATTTTTTCCTAATTTTTGATTTTTAAAAACCATAACTTTCAAACAACTGGACCGATTTTTTTGATCAAAAGTTCAAGTGAAAGATTTTAATATGGACTATAATCACTGTTGTACATTAAAAACATTGATGATGATCGATTTTCATGGTTTTTATGGTCTAGGGACCACCAAAGCCACTATTGCATGTTATATTTTTTCTTGAAAAATTGGGCTTTTTTAAACAACATATCCAAAATTCAGCGATAAATGTTTATGCGTTTCTGAGCTACAATTTTTCAAGAATATTAAGTTTTGAATAATCGAGGCTCAAGGCAATTTATAGCGTTAGCGTTGTTATGATATACTTCGTAGATTGGATACTAGCGACACTCACGTCTCTTCTGAAATTCTCAGTTAGACTACTTTCAGGAATAATGCTGAGGAGTAAACATTGGTTCCAATCTAAACAAGAGTAACAGAAGCATGACTGTCGCTATTCCCGGCCACGCCCATCTTTACCATAACTAGGGATAGGGAAGGAAATGTTGATGTAGTACTTACTTAACGAGAGGCCACCGACTTAGCGACACCCTCATAAGTGCTACGGAGTTGGAGGGTTGGGTAGGGTATTCGGTT